GCTAAAGTAGAGAAATCTGACTATAGACTTGCCACCATAACTTTCAACCAGGGACTCTATTTCCACTCAACCCTCTCCCAGAAGCTGAACAAAATTACGATTACACCACTTTGGCGAAGTGTTTTGATGTGGCGGACCATCTCACTGGCTGGGAAAACTAAACCCGAAAAAAGGTCCCTAATCAAGGCCACAATAGACGATTCTATCAAAAAGTGGGAAAATCGTGATACTCCATCTCCCTATCCTCGTCGGAATGATAGGAAGGGATGCAAGGGCAGATCAGCTCAGCCTAAGCTAAGGCAATACACTGCTTTGAACACTATCATCAACAACATCCTTCTTAGCATCAAGGATAAACCTTTCCTCAGGTGGCCAAAACCCTTCCCTGAGCATTTGAATAAGAAAAGGTTGAACGAATACTGCTCCTTCCACCAATGAACTAGTCAGGCCACTTAGAACTGTTGTACGCTAATAGACCGCATTGAGGAGCTCTTTAACCAGAGGTATTGCTAGGAGTTCATCAAAAGGAAAGCCGGGAAAGAGAAATCCGCCATGAGCTTAATAATGATGAGAATGATCGGTGTCCAGCAGAGAAGCCCACCCTTAGCATCAATTGCATCTATGGAGGATAGAGGATGCTCAAGGAAAGAAAAGTTGGCAAACCTAAGCAAAAAAGGGGAACTTCGACTACTTTGAGGTGGACCGTCCTCAAGCCCCACCATATTGGTTAAGAGAACCCTTAATGTTGAACTACAAGTGGTTTGATTCTTGATGACATGAGAAGATATATAGGCTATCCATTTCAAATTCAACCACATTAATTTCGACATCGCCGTCTATCCATAGACAAGTGCATGGAGAGTTCACCTCCTTAACGCGTTACAATAGGCTATTCGTCAAAGATGATCCCTGATGTAACACTTATGTTGTATCATCTTTTAATTAAAACTACACCAGTGATTTGATCTTTCTTCCAGTGATATTTAGGCAATCAATCACGTGCTCTTATCAATTCAGCATTCTTTTACGAATAAGAGTTCAATGATTGATTATGCTACATCTTTTGTTTGTTTGTTCGTTCTTTTCTATTTTGCGGTGTAGGGGATACCTCAAAATCACGAATAGCACACATCTTTGAAACTTTGCATAATTGTAGGTTTACAAATTCAAAGTGATAATGTCAGAGGAGTCACCTAAACGTATTTCGTGGTGTTTCGGTTAACAGCTTAGGAGGTGTGAGCCATATTAAGCACGGTTATGATAGGCAGGCTACGGGCACAGGAACATAGCTTCCTAAATTGGTAGTTCAACGTACAATCCAACCTTCGAAAAGTTTAAGCAACCTAAGGGTTGTGGGTTGTAACTCAAACCTAGGCTCTACACCATTCGAAGAATAATTGAAAGGGCGATCTAGATCAAATAATCCATCAGAAACATTAAAGACATCTGGAAGATATTATAGGTACGGATCGATGCTTTCTGATTTTTAGTTTGATGAATACATTAAAGATTTCTCATAGGCTTAATACCTGGTAGAGGAGTGAGGTGGTACTCTGACTATTATAGTGAAAATACTTATAGACATTACATTTGGGAGGTGATATTCTTCCGAATCAACGTTACCTTGGGGGCTTCGAGCTCTATCCTAAGCTTACAAACTTACCTGTGTTTCACCTTAGTACTCTATATTCCAAAGTTAGCTTACTTCAAAAAGATTAGCTGACTAAACTATATTCCACAATGTGGAAACAAAAAAGAAAAATCCTATTTATTCTACTCTAACAAGCTTAAAGATCTACGTAAGACTTCTTAATTAAATACGATCAACATGCAAAAGGTTGATTCATTCTAAGGAAAGTGTGAGAACGTCCTGTGACTTGGGCAAGTTTTGCAAATTACGAAAGGGACAAGCCTTTTCTTTGGCCAAATAAATTGTCTCAGAATTTGTGGAATTAACCCTCAGAAATAGTCATGACATCGATTGCCTTACCTGTATCTACAGCAGACAGATCTTCATAGGGAACCCTTGAATCAACAAACTCTTTCAGTATTGCCTCAAAGTCAGAACTTGACTCAACCTCTTCACAAACCTCTAATTATGCGACCTCCCTTGCCAATTGGGAATGGATTGGTAAGTTTGCTTTTTGGTTCTCTGTCATTTTGTGACGAGCATCCCATTCATTGTGATCGTCCATGGCTTGTTGCCACTTCAACCATTGCATGGCTTTTTGTCAACTTCGCCTCGTTATCGTCCGTGGCTTGTTGAACGGCTTCAATGTGCGCTTCTTCCCCCAAGCCGGACTCCGCCTAGCTCAAACTTAAGAATGGACCGATCAGCATCCCATATGCTTCGTTCTGTCGCAGCATCCATTTTGTGTTGTTCTTGGCCTTAAGTGCTTGAACCGACTTCGCTTCAAGTTTGGCCATCTTTGCCACAAGCTCATCATCCTTCTTCTCTTCATGACATAGTTGCTGGATCTAGTTATCTCCTTCTACACCCCAAGCTATGCCCCTTGTTCTTTGGCTAAAAGCTTCTCTAGCTTCACATTTTTCCCTTGAAGCTGTCTTACTAACTTGATTTTGCCACCGATCTCACTCTTGTGAGCTGCCTCTAACTTACATATTTTTTCCATTTAGCTCAAGACTGCAGCTTCTGTCCAAGCATTAGCCTGATTTTCCATATCGGTGAGGCAAATTGTCAAGCAGATCAGAGCCTGAGCATGCTTTATGTTATAAAGACCGCTTACATTGAAGAGAAGCACTTTGCAACAGTAGACGGGCTTGATTATTACATGAGAATAGGCTCCTCTCACGGCAGCATCGGAAGAACTTGATGTTTTGGCATATGAGGAGGAAGTCCAACGGAGTTGCTTATCATTACTTTGCTCCCCAAGAATAGGAGTACAATACCACTCAGAAATCACCCTTTGGATAGGAGTAGGGGCAAGGTCATCTTGTTTTTGTTATTGTTGTTGTTGCTGTTATTCTTGTTGTTGTTCCATGACTGCATGAACCTGATTTTGAGGAACTTTAACAAAATCTTCACCGCTGCTTAAGGAAAGTTTCCCTTCCTTTTCTTCGCCAACTACCAAAGCATGTTGCTGTTCCGCCTCAAGTAGCCTTAGCTTGAATGAAGTGGGATCTCAAACTTCAAGCATTCTGTCAACTCTCCCTTGAGGAATGTCAGAACTTCCCTCTACACCAGACTTCCTTTTGGAAGGCCTAACATCATCGGCTTTCTTTGTGGTACCCTCAAGTCGTTTCCTCTTCTTTTTCTCCGACTTTGGAACTTCTAGGATTTTCACCAAATCCTTCCTATCCTTAGCTACCTTTGCATCAACCCAGGCTAAATCCTAGATGGGATGGTTGGAACAGTGATCCACAATGGCATCTCTACTGTCTTCTCCAAGTCTTCTGGTGCAATAAGCCACTTCCAGTTCCGATGTTCAACTGGGATGACTTTGAAGGCCTATCAATCAGTTAAGGGTGGCGCTGACCGATACACTCCACATCATTATCACATCAAAGAAGATAGAGATCCGAAGATATTTACAGAAGATATTTCGAAATCATCTTACTGGTGAATTCGAGTCATCTCACCTCAAGATCAGCATATCTGACGGCCAAAATTAATCGAGAAAGCAATTGACAGTCCCTTGTTCCCCATCCACACGCAACTAAGACATCCCTATCCCTACGATATAAATGGCATGCTTATCAAGACTACACGCTTTAATCCAGAACGTCTCGATTGCTTTGAAGCATTCATAAGGTAGAATAGCCATGCTTCAGAAGATTTTAAAACGGTATGTATTCTAATTTACTCCTAAAGGAATGGTCTTTGGACAACTATCCATCCTCAAGGAAACAAGTCTTTTTCAATTACATAGATAGGTGCAATTGTGGGACCATGATTCAGAGCCGGAGTAAGGCGAGTAGGAATATGAATACCTTAGAAGTCTGGTCATGGACTCAACAACCTCCGTAGTGGAGCTGCACAGACGAAACAATGATGTTACTATTATCCTAATTCTAGAGCAGTGGGTGAAGTTCGACGACTTTGCTGAGATTGACCATGCTTGTTCCATAGGACACGGAAACCTAATCCAACAAGGAATCACCAAGTTTCCTATATTCTTGAAGTCCTTACAAGATTAATAACCTCTCATCTCCCTCATTATCTCCGGTGTTCGACCATCAATAATCACAAGCGACAGATTTCTTTTCCGACTTCATTCTCATTCCACTCCGATTAACTATCTCTTGGATTTTCAAATTTCGTATCAATTTTGACATTTCCGGAATGTAGGTTCAAGCATTCTTTTTGAAATTTTCGTATATAGAAAGAAGGATTTTTTAGAGGGTTCCATTGGACTGGATTGGACGGATCCGTTCATCTTCTGAGTTCACCACTCACTTCAAAGGAGTCAAACCTAAGTACTTCACTTACACATGAATGAATAATATTTATACTATGATGATGCTATGCTGGAGTTTCCTGCAAACTTATAAATATGACCAAAATAGTGCGTTCCTATCTCCTTTTGATTTCACTTCTTCCAAGGCTCCACCACCAACAAACTACAGTACGTAATACTTAGGTCCTTAGGTCCTTGATAATGACGAGTGCAAGTCCACAAGAGCTACACCAACCTCTCCACCAACAACAAGGCCTACCAGCCAAGTACATTGTACGACCAGCTTTTGTTAGATACTGTTTATATTTAATTTTAAATAAAAAATTTAAAATGATTTTTAGCCCCATGATGAGTGCTGAACTGATAGAATGAATTGATCGCTATGATCGTCAAAAACAGGATCCGAATACGATCCTGTTACCAAATCCCCTACCCGTCAACGGTCTCATGGCACATTTCTCTCAAAACTTGATCCTTGAAAACATGTTTAAAACATATAATTGTTTGGGGTCATTGTCTTATCCAAACCCCAAAGCAAAAGAACAAAAATTAAAGAAAAAAATAGATGACACAGTTTATAGCTGGGTTCCAAACGATAAAATTTTAAAATGTTGTGCTTGTTATTAAGCAAAAAACAATTAATAATAACAATAGAAAAATTGTTCTTATCTTGTTTTGCTTAATACATGAAAATGTAATAAGAAAGGATAAGCAGATTTAACACCTTTTGTGCGTCACCCAGCCAAAATTCCCAGAAGCCTTTTTTTCGGTACTGTAATATTATATATCTGTCGAGTGTGAGGCTTTGCCCATTTTCACCAATGCCTGCCTTGATGAGAGCCACTTCCGCCTCCTCCCCCTCCTCCACCACCCTTGTTCCTCGCAATGAAAGAATTCTTCGGCTTTGGTATCTCATGGATGTCCATCACTTGAATTGTTCTCTGCTTTTTGGCTTCACAAAAAAGGCACATTCCAATCAACATTAACACCAATTTAATGAACTAAAACATACAAAAAAATTAAAAAATTAAAAAATTAAAAAAAAACCAACAAGTCGATAGTTAAAGAGCAAACCATTTTCAGCTTCTCTATAATTTGCCTGAAGTCGTCTTCTTGCAGAAGCCAATCTATCAGAGTCTAAATCGCTTTCCTTCTGCCCCATCTGTCTCTGCAAAAATCAATTAAGAGACAAAACAAAACTCAGTGAAAATAATTTGCTTCGAATTATGGCTTTAGAATTCACATTATGAAGCAGCACTGAGATTACTTACAGTTGCACTCGACTAAGCTATAAATTGAACTAATTGGCTTAGTTGAATTCAGTTTCTTATATTTTGGAAGTATAAGCTTCATATTTTATATTATCTCCCTCAAAAGTTCAGCATCCAAACATAGAGTTAGATACTCTAATTTGGTATCCATACATTTTGAGGAGCAGAAGCAGACACAGGGGTCCATTGTGTAGGTTTTGGTTTTGGTGGAGCAATCCTCCTAGGAACTGCCTTTGGCTTGCGTTCTGGTTCTGAATAGTTCTTGTCTGACCCAGAACTCCCATCTGTGTGAAAAACAATAATATTAATAATAATAGTAAGAAAGTATAAACAACACAAACAGACCCAGCTAAATTAAACTGCAAACGACTGAATTTTCAGAAAAAGATGAAGAGGAAGTGTAGAATCTGATTCAATACTTACTGTGAGGATTTGGAGAGTATGCAAAATCAGGAACCTGAAAATTATAAGAACTGAATATTAGAAAGCAAGAATAAAGGACAGCCACTAACCCTTATCCAAAATAAATGTTTCTTTGACCTGGTGAAGGCCATTTTGGGGAATTTTCTGCTGCGGTGAGTCTTCATCAACTGCAAACAACTTGAGTTAAGAATCAAAGTGACTAGGGCAGGTTTGCAATTTCTGAACATTGATTTAAGTTTTCCCAAGAAGAGAAATTAAATTAATTCATAAGAAATAAGGATCTTATGTTTACCCATTGTTGAAGATGATGGTTGTTCTCCATGTAACTTGACCCATTCATTCACAATACCTTTCCATTTACTGTAAAAATAAAAATAAAAATAAAAAAGCAACAAAATAAATCAATAACTTATGCTTTCTTTCAATGTCCAAACTAAAAACTTTCACCGCCAACAAGTGAAGAGCAACGATATATGACATACTTGATAATTTGCTTTGCCAATCTCCTAACAACATCGCTTGGATGCTGCTTCCGCAATTGACTCACACGCTTTCCAATATCAGCCTCCTAAAAATCCCAAACAACTAAAAATCACAAACTTGGTGGAAGTTTGTTTACTCTTTATTAACCATGGAGTGGGATTCAAAATTGGAGAACGAAAAAAATTAAAATGACTAAATCAAGAGATAATTGGTGAGAGAAGTGCTTTTCTGCTTATAAGAGCATATATAAGAACAGCCCATAATTACCTTGAGTTCTTGGACTGATATTTCCATATCTGCTAGACTTTGAAGCAACTCAACCAGAGTATCCTCAGACTGACATGAACAAAGTGGCTAACAATCAATATAAAAAGAGGCGAAAAAGGACAAGATACAACTAAACCGAAAAAGGAAATGAATTGAAGACTGGCAGAAAGAGAAATTGACCTGATAAGGATCCTCAAGATGCTTCTTGATGTCTAGAATATTCTTTGGCTCATCATCAAACAACCCTGCATAGGGATCCAACTCCTCCTCATCCTCCTCACCACCATCTCCACCAACAGACTGCGGAGTGTACGGTGAAACTGCTTTGGGCTGGTTAACATTGGGCCCATTAGGCCCATCAGCATTGCAGTTCGGGCATTGAGGTGGAACGGAAGCTGTGGCATAGAGGCGCTCGACAATGCCATCCCTCCGGTGCTTGAGCTCAGTGCCATAATCGGCCAAAGCGACAGCTATGGCAGTGTCCATGAACGTCCATATATCCACTCCCGAGCTTTCTAAGATGGTCCGGAAGTCGTCGTGGTCCATTGTGTCGGCCTTGTAGTCAAATACAAACACCGTGTGCTCGATTATGGATTGTTCTCAGATTTTGAGATTGCATCACCAGATCATGAATGGAGTTATAAAAGTCTAATCATCACAAGAAACAACATCCAAATCTCCAAAGGCAGAGATCTGAGTCGGTGTTGCAGACGTTTCAACAATCCAAGCTCCAAAGAGAACTCCCAGGCAAAAGATCAAATTGTCCAAGTGAAGATGAGAGAAAACTGAATTGATTTCCGGGTTTGTGTGTGTGTTCCTTGATTCTTTGTTCACTGTCCAATTAAATGAGACTTGTGGTGAATTTTTCGGACAATTGAACAGGCAATGGCTATACTTGCAAATCCTATAGGAACCCTAAAAAGTGGCAGAAAAGCTCTACATTCTTTCTGCCCTCTATCAAATCCCACCAAGCAATGTCCAATCAAAATTCTTTACACTTTATCGCTTTCACAAACTGCTGAAACCGGAAAAGAAATAGACAAATTTTAAGTCGAAAAAAGGGTTAATGAACCATAGATATCCATTTTTAGAGAACATCAAAGCTCATGTAGTGCTATCAGAAAACCAAATACGTGCAGAGTACCCAAACGAAAAAGCTTACTGAACTAGAGAGCAAATGAAAAAAGATGAAAAACAGATAGAGCAAAAACAGTAGAGTCCTATAAACAATTAAGCAGCCTATCATCATATCAGCAAAATTCAGATTAGAGAGTAAACACACACTAAATACAGAGATAGATACACAATACGGCAATTCAAAGGAAAATATTAAAATCTCTAATCTGGAAAAACACATGAGCAGCCAATAAATATTTAAATAAATAGCAAAAACAAAAAAAAAAAAGACAACCTGAATTCAAACAGAAAGCAACGTTTAAGCAGAATGATGTTTACGATTTAGATAACATACCAAAATGAGACAACTGAAAATCCCTAATCTGGAAAAAAAAAACAAAAAATTAAAACCCTAATCCTACATTCAGAGAAATTTATAAAGAAAGTAATATAAAAGGAAGTCAGATCTGAGGAAAGATAGAAATGGAAAATACCGAGGAGAATGAGAGAAGGAGATGCCGTCCAGCGGAGGAGGGAGGAGGGAGGAGGGAGCTGTCTTAATTCCTTCTGTTGTCCGGTTTATTTTACAGATAGAAATAAAATCATGGAATTTTCTGAAAGGCGAATCAGCAGGTAGTGCGACTGTGCGAACCCACTTTTGACCTTTGGATTAGCTAATTTAATCCAATGGCCGTTGATGAATCTGAAAAGCAAAACCCAAGTGTGCAAACAAAAAAATTAGGCAATTCAATTGGGTTTTCTATTTCACTGCTCAATTCAATTAAAAATACGTGGTAAGTGGCTTTTGTAATAACAGTAGTAGAAATGTATGGAATCTTTTAATGGATATAAATTTCATCAGTGTCTAATCTAACATTTAATTTAACAAAATCTGTCATTTAACAAAAAAATAAAAGTACTTAGAATTTTTGGGTAAGTAGCAAGTGAAGAGTAAATTCAAACTTCCAAAACAAAATTGTGTTGGGTCGAGTTGAATAATTCGTTTATTTATTCGAGATTGTAATTTTTTATCTTCTTTTTATTTCTTTATTTTTTATTTTTGAATTGGTTGGTTTTGGTGAGGTTTAGGAGACTTGGGACTTCTGGGTTTCGTCATATGACTTTTTGAATCCTTAAAAATTGAGCATAAGGATCAAATAATCCGGATGGTTGAATTTTGATTTAACGGATACAATTATTATAATTTTTAGAGGAATCTCTTATTTGTAGCCGTTGTATCAAATTTTAACGGTCTGAATCATTTCATTCTTACACTCAAGTTTTTAGGGATCCATAGAAGATCCGGGTTGATATGACTCAATGACTCATGGGTGCGCCTCGTAAGCAGGTTTTTGTTTGTTATTTATGACATTATCTTAGTGCGTGTTGGTGTAGGGCGGTATCATTGGTGCAAATGTTGTGTGCGTCCTATGTACTGGGAATCATCGTGTGTATATTCACCTTTGGATTTTGCTTCATTCACCAGGAATTTAGATTATCAATCACATTTACAGAATTTCCAATTATTTACGCATCTTAATGATTCGTTATTATTATTTTTTTTTTATTTCAACATGCAATACAGATAGCTACATACCTTTGTGGTTAAAACATATTATTGTCACACATTTTTTAATAAAATATATAAAATTCACGTATTATACTTTTTGTAACATATTATTGAATAAATAAAAATAAATAAATATTAGAATTTTAAAAAAATGACCAAATTTTAAAAAATATTATTTTAGCACAGTTGCTAAATAATACACGTATTTAATTTTCACCTATTATATTTGCTCCATATTTTATTAACTATATTAGTAATCTAGTCGTCTAGAGAAAAACCAAAAGAAAAGTTTTGGCGCCGACTGCTGCCTTTGACTTTAAGGCGATGGCAATCTTCTTGAAAATCATTTTTCGCTTTTTCCCTCTCACCTTTTGTTTACTTTATTTGGTGTTTGTGGTTTTGAAACGTTGTAGTCATCGTAATGGTTGTCATCTTTTGACCCATGCACACAGTTATCACAAGGTTTTGGATCCAGTTATCATCTTCGATGTGGGTTGAAGCAAGAAGCCATGGAAGATGTCAAATTGCGTCGGGTTGAGTTTAGTCAGTACGATTTCTTGAATTTAGCCAGTGCAGTGATATGACAAGCGGATGTTCAGAGGATGTGGAGCAGCGACATGATTTTACCTTTTTATTTTATTTCAATTTAATAATTTCCAGGAATTGTCCTGTAATTTGGTTTGATTTCTCCTTGTAGGAGAGTTTGCTAGTTTAATTGTTGTCTATAGGACAATGCATGGTTTAATTTTTGTTTTGGTGTGCTACCACTTTTGGATCTATGTGTGAAGGGTGGAGCTGTTTAATTTGCTGGATCTACTTCATCTGGTGTTCTAGGACTGTGGTAGTAATTAGGTGATGTGATCGATCCATGGGCATTGTACTCCCTATCCCAATTTATGGTTTGAGATTTTGTTCTCACCTGATCTCCTTGTAACACAAAGTTAAATAATTTTATTGATCTGTGTAATTGTGCAGTTCCCTATGAGTTCAAACGAGTGCTTGAAATCTACTCATTGCTTTGCAATTAATGGTGCTTTGCTGTAATATTTTTAGAGCTAGTTTGCAAGCACCCTTTTGAGGCCGAGTTCTTCATGATATATATTTGTAATGTCATTTTATCAATGAACAGAAAAATTGTAATCTTCTTTAAAACTATGTTATCAATTAATTTGAATTGCAAATTCAATAAGCTTCGATTTTTTCTATACATTATGGCATTTTACCTACATTTGGAAGGGGTCAAATTGGAAGGAAGAGAAGTGGAAATAGAATGAAATGGCATTTTAATATGGATCCAAATTTTAACCACAATTTTAAATTGAATCCGCTAGTGTTACATCTCATAAGTGGGGTCTAGTAAGTCGACACACTTCGACGTCCTATATTTACTTGTCCTTAATTTTAACACAAATTACAGATGTTTGTACCATACTTAGGGCATCTGTATTTAGATCTCGTATAAATACTCGGAGGACTCAAATGTAACTATGTAATAAATGAAGGGGCAAATATGTAATAAGTGAGGAGCCCTTATTCTATAAAATGACCCCTCACTCTCCTCATTAGGGGAGGCCAATTCTTAGGCCATGGGAAGAGCTCTCTCACCCTCGTAAGCTCTCACCCTTTCCTTCACAATTCTCTCAGAGAAATACAATATCAGTGTGGACGTACCCAAAACATTGGGGTGAACCACAATACACTTGTGTTATTTACTTTCTTGCAGATTCACGGTCGGATTTATGTTGTTCCAAGACCTCCAGTTTTGTGCATCAACATTTGGCGCCGTCTGTGGGAATCGACACGAAAAGCTGTGTCGATTCTCTTTCATTTTTCCATCTCACCATAGTGAAATCTTCACAACCTCACCACTATCCACCGTGGATTTGCAAAACCTACACAGAGACACAGACACAGAGCTATCTCTCTCTCTCTCCATGCTCACCAATCCACTCCAAATTCTAAATTCTAGAGCCATAATCAGAATCTGTCTCATAAATGGAGGTCTCCTTATAAAGCAACCTTTGGGATAGTGTGGTGGAACTGACCAAAAGGGCACAACAAAAGAGAAGATAGAGAGCTTTGTTTGAGTATATTTATCAGCTTCTAGAGAGAGAAAGAGTGGAGAGAGAGACTTAGCATAGCAACTCAAAGCAAACTTTTTCCTGCCTCACCATCACAGCCACTTTTTGTAATGGGTACTAAAAGAATGATTATTTTTGTACTACTAATCCAGTGATCTAGGAAGATGTGGAAGATCAAGTTTGGAGAGGGTGCAAATGAACCTATGTTGTTCAGCACAAACAACTTCCATGGGAGGCAGACATGGGAGTTCGACCCAGATGCAGGTACCGAGGAGGAGCGAGCAGAAGTTGAAGCTGCTCGTGAGCATTTCTACCAAAATCGCTTCAAGATCCAGCCTAGCAGTGACATCCTATGGCGTTTTCAGTAGGATTAGCCCGTTTGGGAATCTGGCTTGGTGGGATTGGGAGCTATCTCGCAGGAGGACCCATCTCGCAAGACTGGGAGCCTGCCGTCATCAGGACCCCAATTTTCCCAGTTTTTCGCAAGCAAACTGAGGCTGCTCCGGCGAGAGTTCTAGAGGAAAATAGAGCTGGAGTGGCGGTCAACGCAAGTCAAATAGGATCAGTGCCGCCATTCTGCCATGGCGGTCCAGTTCAAATTCAGAGGCTCCGTCAACTTTGAATCCACCGCCATCAATGGCCACGCCTCCATCTCCGTTCGTGATCTCAAATCCAAGATAATTCGCCATAAGAACCTCAACCTTTGCCAAGACTCCGAACTCGTCTTCTCTGACGCCGTAACCGGTTAAGGTGCTTGACGACCTAGATCCTCAGCAATGGCATCGAGGAATAGGTGGCTTCAGATTCCTGAAGGTTGGGACTCCTCTGTCTCGACCTCGCCGACAACAACCTCCGGGGACTCTTTCCGGACAATCTCATGCACTCCAGCTCTCTCTAAAGGTTCTTGCGGCTCTGTGTTTCTGGTTTGCTACAATCTGCATCGATCAAGATGGTGCTTCAGAACGATACCGATTTGCTTCACCCACCAGCTGAGCTCGAAAAGAGGAAGCACAAGCTCAAGAGGCTTGTGCAGACGCCCAACTCTTTTTTCATAGATGTTAAGTGCCAAGGATGCTTCAGCATAACAACCGTGTTCAGTCACTCGCAGACAGCTATGGTGTGTGGGAATGCCAGACAGTGTTGTGCTAGCGTACTAGAGGCCAAGCCAGGCTTACCGAGGGTTGTTTTTTCAGAAGAAAGGGGGACTGATGCTGGTACTTTGATCGTATTTACTTGTATTTGGCAAATTGCAAAAGAGCTTTGCGGGGATGATTTACGGAGTTGCCTCCCAATGGCGACCGTCAGATTGCCGATTCTTAAATCTCAATAGTCGTCCTCTCACGCCACTGCTAATGCCACCCCGCAACGCAACTGGAACTGTTCCTCCTTGTCCTCCACCTTCATTGCCACTAGCTAGATCACTTTTCAGGTCAGATCGAGATGATTCTTAAAGCCCAGAATGGGCCCAAGACCGTTGCCCGGTTTGAGGAGTACAAGGAGCCTGTGAAGGCGCAGTGCATCGCAGACAGAAACGAGATCATGCAGTTCCACTACCTCGGTCCCACTAGCTCTAGCGTTACGGTGTACGACGCTTGTAGGGGAATGTGGGGGTTTCATGGGAAAAAGAAAGAAAAGCAAAAGTAAGAAAAAGAAAAATGAGGAGGATATATCTTGACCAGGCTGCACATGTTCCTACTTTTTCTAAAGAAACCAACTGGAAAGCAAGATATATTTTGACCAGGCTGCACATGTTCCCACTTTGAAATCTCAACTTGACCAACGAAAAGCTGTTGTTTATAATCTTGTGTCTAATACACGGCTTTTAGAAAGCAAGATACAGGATGCAGGATACCCTCAAAGCACGTGCTTAGTCTGCGAAGATTGTAACTAAAATGAGTGAGATGGTGGGAAACGTCAATACAAGTAGTGCTATCTCAACTTTTGATAAGATGGAAGAGAAAGAAATTACCTTTATTTCGTC